GAGAGAGAGAGAGAGAGAGAGAGAGAGAGGCTATGAGGTCAGATCAGTTTTGATATTGTGGCAGTCATTTCGAACAAATCAATGTTTAAACTGTAGCACTTCAGCGAGGTCAGCTGAGTCGGTGTGAGAGAGTGCTAGATAGATAGAGAGAGCGAGAGAGAGAAAAGTTAGCAGCGGAGTCAGAAAATCAGGAAAAAAACCTGCCTTAGATAAATTTATGGACAAGCCCGTCAAGCCTAGAGGGGTAATATGCTACTTTATGACCACAGTGACAAAAAAATCCATACCATTACCATTTCTAATCAACACAAGTAAACTTACTGCAGCATCCACATTTGCTGGCGAGTCACCATTTGGGTCTGCCAGCATAGAGATAACACTAATCATGATGGTTTCCACTGTGTGGATAGGCAGCCAGCGCTCCTCTGGTTTCTCATAGCCGTACTTGTCCTCCCCAGGTTCGTGCAAAATAGAAATACATACATCTCCATTCTTGTCAACTGGGGGGGGGGGACACAAAGAAAATGTAAATTGCTATTCCTGTAGTATAATGTTTAATAATGAACATTTACATATGACATTTAACCAATTAGCTGCCAAACTCATTATTGATATTGTTTACGGAAAGTTCTTATGGAAAATATCTGGTTCCACCGAGTAATATTTTACAGGAGGGAACTTTGATTGCAGCCTTAAACCTACAGTTTGTTGGTAGGTCTGATAGTACAATCCCTCCTGTTCTTCCTCACAAAGCTACTAAAGCTCTATTAAATAGTATAAGGACTATTTTTAAGGCCTACCAAAAACAGTGAACTGTATTCATGTGTGGATTTTGACTCGGCCACTTAAGGACATTAACATCTTTTAATTTCAATCCATACCTACATAACTTTATTTGAATTTCATTAAATTCATATAATTCTGAAAAACACAAAACAATTCATGTTACACAATATACGAAATCCTAATCTGATGCTTATCTACTCTATCATAACTGAAGTTGACTCATGAAATATTTCTGAATCTACAGAGGTACGCACATCAAAAATCCTTAACATGAACACTATGATCTCTTTGATGGAACCTACAACTACTAAACAAAGGAAACTATTATATAATATACTGTGTAGTAATCATGAACCTACCATTAGGGTGCCAAATATCTGTGATAAATTTCATTTTAGGTGGCCTGAGAGGGTAATCTTTGGGAAATGTCAGGTGAGCTTTAAACACACCACCTTCACTGTGAAATGAAAAGACAGGAGATAAAAATCAATTTCAAAACATCGATAGCAACAATTATAATAGAAGGAAAAACAAACATAAGGACAGATCTTTCCATCATGACAGACTTACTAGAGTGTATCTGGAGGACCTATGATAAGTACTTCCCATCTGTAGAGATCATTATCCTCAATCAGGCCTGCTGAGAATCCCTCCACTGGGTTTTTGTTCAGCTCTAGGTATAAAAACATAAATCAAATCATACTGTCAATTGTTCATAAGACTTTCTGGAGACTGCTGAAAAGACAACCTAAGACTTGAAACCACACACAGTACTTTAATAGTGCATTATAGAATGATCACATACTCAAATACTTAACTAACTATATCAGTGGTGTTGATATACTGATCAAAGGAAGCAGTTTGCCATCCCGTTCTGCAAAATACAGAAGGTGAAAGTTTCTCACCACACATCTCATGAATTCCATCCTACATAATTAATCTTATTACTTCATCCAATGTTCATTAAGTGTGGCATGCAATATATCTGGATTACACCCAAATTTATCATATTGTGATATAAGGTATATTGAACACCTTGCTAATTTGCCCTGATATCATAATTCCGTAATAAGGTGTGAATAACAAATATATCTACCCCTGACCTCAGTCTTTTATAGTCATCGTTCAAAATAACTGCCTCTGACTTCCAAGTGAAGGCTTTTAGTGGGTTTCAAAACGAATAATCGTATACTTTAGGGTTAGGGTTAATCAATGTATGTGTACAACAAAGGACACACAGCTGTTTAAATCAATTAAACATTATCGTTTTAACATCATCTTAAACATGAATAAGAAGTTCATGGAATACTAATCATAATCTACCATTCCTGGCATTGTGTTTGCTGATTCATGATCTAAAAATATTCCAATAAATCTAAAAGAACTACCCATCATTATGAGGGCAATAACATGAAAACTACAAAGAAACACTGTGTTTCTGACAGTTTGTAAATCGAGTTTGCAAATAGCACAAACCTGGAAAGTAACATTAGTGCTACAAACCCCAAACCTTTATACGATGCCTGTTCGACTCGGCTGCTTTTAGAAAGTGGGTAATCATAGAGCAGCTAAATGTAACTAGCACCTGACTCTGCTAAAATAGAGAGCAGAGGTAATGCAAGATTAACATTAGCTTGTTAACTTGGCGTGCCGAAGCTAACAACAGTGACAGGAGCTAACGCTAGCCGACAGCTCGAGTTGGCTACATATGTCAACAATTCAATGGTTAGCAACGGTAATTTGTCAACTAGTGAAACGCTGAATATACTTCTGTATAGAAAGACACATGCCGCCTTGCTATTTGCATTTCAGCTAACACAGGTTATAAAACAAATCCAAAACACCGCTTGTTATGTCGGTTAAAACCTACGTAAACACATCGAGCCAGCAGAGGTAGCTGGAGGCTAATGCTAGGCTAACTGCTTTACGCTAGCACGAAGGCAGAGTCGTTGGGACTTCTGACAGCGGCTTTCAACTGAGATCAGTGTGCGAAGTCGACACACAAATCTGTGTGAGTCCCGACAGTGTGTGTCTTTGTCAGGAGAGGGGCACATCCGTCGCCATGTGCGGCGACCACCCTCACGACGATTACATGTCATGGGACCTTAACGTTAGTGTGGAAGGTTCAAGAAAACACTTTGCGCCTGCACCATCGTTTGAATCACGGCTAACGGTGGGGGTTCATCGTTAGCTCGGCAGCTAGCATCAGCTAACACCAAGGTTCAATTACCTGCAAGCTGTCTCCTGAGTAACAGCGCTGACTGAGGCTCAGTCATAGTTAAGCCAACGTAATGCGGCTGTATTAAATGGCAATGCTAAGAGGTAAAAGCGTTAGTTTCACGTTCTCTGAACTGTGCTCCGTCCCCTCTATTTTCCGTTTAACATTCTCGTCATTCTTCTTCTCTGTCGCCTTTCCTGCCACTGCTGCTGTTTCTTCTTCGTTCAATTTTTACAGCGCAGGCATCCGTATTGACGCATTACTGCCATCTCCTGGATACACCTCCCACTGACGTATTCTCGACATTCATTGCAAGAATCATGTCGATTTAATTGTATAATATATATAAACTGAGCAAAAAAAGAAACGTCCCTTTTTCAGGACTGTGTATTTCAACAATAATGTTGTAAAAACCCAAATAACTTTACAGATCTTCATTGTAAAGGGTTCAAACAATGTTTTCCATGCATGTTCAATTAACCATAATCAATTAATTAACATGCACTGGTGGAATGGTCGTTAAGGTCTTAACAGTTTACAGAGAGTAGGGATTGAAGGTCACAGTTCTAAAAACGCAGTACACTAAAGAGACTTGTCTACCGACTGTGAAAAACCCCCAGAGAAAGATGCCCAGGGTCCCTGCTCATCTGCATGTACAAAATAACTATGCGATATTTATTGAACATTTTTAATGATGCTTATGTTGTCTTTGGGCAGGTGCTGGTTCCCACACATGCTTCAAAAGGTTTCAAAGGTTTCAAAGGTTTTATTTGTCATCTGCACAACAGATACAGCGTACACGTTGGCAATGAAAATCTTAAATCCCAGGCACCTCAAGCAACTCAACATGTAATAGTGTCAGAAAAATAATAAAATAAGAGTAACTGTTGTTGTGTTATTTACAATTGGTTTAAAGTGCGTGCAAGTGCATGAGTGATTTTGCATAAAAACTCACCTGTCCTGTCCTTTGTCTTTCCTGACAAACAGTCCTCCAGGTAACAAACATATACCTACTTAAACCTTATGTGTGTGTGTGTGTGTGTGTGTAAAATTCAATGGATACCAGTTTGTAAACACTGACATCAATTAACAGCTGTGAAAGAACTAACATTTTTCAGTTATTTAACAATTTGTGCATCACCACAAGAATGTTTTTTTAATGTAAATGAAGGCATTTTAGTAGATTATTGCAAATATACTGTTTTGCATTTGTGCATACACGATGCGACTGTGATGCAGTAAATTGCCATGTCCGCACTGTGAGACGCCTAAGACAGGAAGGAGACAGGAAGGACAGCTGATCATCCTCCCAGTGGAAGACCACGTGTAACAACACCTGCACAGGATTGGTACATCCGAATATCACACCTGCGTGACAGGTACAGGATGGCCACAACAACTGCCCGAGTCACACCAGGAACACACAATCCCTCTATCAGTGCTCAGACTGTCCGCAATAGGCTGAGAGAGGCTGGACTGAGGGCTTGTAGGCCTGTTATAATAAGGCAGGTCCTTACCAGACATGACCAGCAACAACGCCGCCTATGGGCACAAACCCACCTTCGCTGGACCAGACAGGAGTGGCAAAAAGTGCTCTTCACTGATGAGTCACGGTTTTGTCTCACCAGGGGTGATGGACGGATTCGTGTTTATCGTCGAAGGAATGAGCGTTACACCGAGGCCTGTACCCTGGAGTGGGATCGATTTGGAGGTGGGGGGTCCGTCATGGTCCGGGGCGGTATATCACATCACCATCRGACTGAGCYTGTTGTCATTGCAGGCMWTCTCAATGCCTTGCGGTACAGGGAAGACATCCTCCTCCCTCATGTGGTACCCTTTATGCATGCTCATCCGGACATGATCCTCCAGCAGGACAATGCCACCAGCCATACTGCTCGTTCTGTGCGTGAGTTTCTGCATGACAGCAATGTCAGTGTTCTGCCATGGCCAGCGAAGAGCCCCTATCTCAATCCCATTGAGCACGTCTGGGACCTGTTGGATCGCAGGGTGAGGGCTAGGGCCATTCCCCCCAGAAATGTCCAGGAACTTGCAAGTGCCTTGGTGGAAGAGTGGGGTAACATCTCACAGCAAGAACTGACAAATCTGGTCCAGTCCATGAGGAGGAGATGCACTGCAGTACTTCAAGCAGCTGGTGGCCACACCAGATACTGACTGGTACTTTTGATTTTGAGCCTCCCTTCATTCAGGGACACATTTTTCTATTTCTGTTAGTCACATGTCTGTGAAACATTTTTAGTTTATGTCTTATGGTGTTGACTCTTTTAGTGTTCATGCAAATATTTACAAACATTAAGTTTACTGAAAGTAAAAACAGTTGAAAGTCAGAGGACGTTTCTTTTTTT